GGCGACAGAGCTCTGGACCTGGAGTCAGGGAGACCTAAGTTCAAATCCAGCCCCAGATACTATGCTTAGGGCAAGTCACTAAATCTTTGGCTGCCTCAGTTTCCAGGTGCCTAAGGGCATTCTCTCCCTGGCAAGCTGGGACATCCCAGCTCCTAAGGCCCCTCCCAGCTCTGACCATCCCTCTTCTCACGCCCCTCCCAACTCTGACCATCCTTTTCTCAGGCCCCTCCCAGCCCTGACCATCCCCTGTCCTCACGCCCCTCCCAGCTCTGACCATCCCTCTTCTCAGGCCCCTCCCAGCTCTGCATTCAGGTGTTTGGGGCTTTCAGAGGGTTGGTTTCATTTTGCAGGGAGCCAGGGCTCTTTGCTGCCTTCGACAGCCTCCAGTGCACCGCTAGGGGGCGCCATAGTGCACAGCGTGCTGGGCTTCCCTGAAGGGGCCGGGCCTGGCGCCACAGTGCACAGAGCACCAGGCTTGGAGTCAGGAAGACTCATCTTCCAGAGTTCTAACTCGGTGACCCTGGGCAGTCACTTGGCCCTGTTTGCCTCAGTTTCCTCATCTGTAAAATGAGCTGGAGAATGAAATGGCAGCCCACTGCGGTCCCTCTGCCACGAATGCCCCAAACGGGGTCACTGAGGGCCGGACACCACTGAAGAACGTCTCCATGCCGGGAGTCTCACCGCTAAGCCGGGATGAAGGCGGCCCAACAAGACGGGTGCACCTGTGCGCACTCAGACGCTAACTTCACACTCTTGCCCGCAGACGGCAGGGAATCGGCGGGCTCCAGCTCTGTGCCCTTTTTCCTTTCACGGCCCCAGAACTCGGGCCCTTCCCAGGGCTTGGCCACAAGCTGACAACATACCCAGTACATTCCGGCCCCCCAGCCAGGGTCATTTTGACTGGCAGACGTGGCTCCTCCCTCCCACCTTCAGGTTTGAGAAGGGCTCTCTTTTTTGAAAAGGCCCTCCCGGTGTGGGATGGTGTGAGCACAAGTTCTAGCTATCAGGGAGCCCCCAGGGTCTGGGCTGGCCCCTGATTCCTGTCTGGAGCAGCCTGGACTCGATGCCACCCTGCTTTCCAACATCCAAGTGGCACTTTCTGGTTTACAATGCCATTCACTCCTTTCTCTATCTCAATTCTAAGTTCTAGCATCCCCATTTCACAGATCCCCTCAATTCACCCACAAAACCCTGTTTTCTGACTCTCCAGTTCGGAGCTCCATCAACTCTGTCAGGGAAGAAGAAAACAAGCAACGGGAAGCCGACGACGTTTTTACCAAAGCAACTCTCGAAGACCCATTTGGCACCATGTGCAGGGTGGACCAGGACAGACTGGGAGCAGGGAGGAGCATGGGGAGCCCGCAGAAAGGGCACACCCGAGCTTCAGTTTACAAAGCATCCAGAGAGCGATGGGAAGCACTGGGCAAGTCCAATCTGCAATGATTTCCCGTGGAGGTGTGGGACTGCAAACTCAAGGAAGAGGTGAGAACTGAAAACCTGGGGTTCGTGAGGGATCCCTGAGAGAAACAAGTGAGCTGGCCTAGGTGAGAGCTCTGGGCTCCCTGCTCAGCTCCACCCTTTCCCCACACACCAGGCCTGAGAAATGAGGGCAGCTGACATTGCTGTGAGGGTTAAGTCTGCAAAGGGCTTGAGATCTAGCATTTCATTGGGGCGCCACAACTCTTGAGGGTCTCCTCCCAGGTGGCCTTGCACACACTGCCACCTCTGTGGAAGGGCCGCGTGCGTGTACGCGTGTGTCAGGGAACCTCAGGAAATCAGGGAGGACACTAAGATGAGGAAAAAAAACCCAAAGTGCCGCAGGTTGATGCAAGGTTTATTCAGACAGTGTACAAACAGGCCACTGAAAACACTGGCTTTGATGTCTGGCCCAGTACTATGGAATCAATGGAGTAGGAAAATAAAAAGGCACTAATCTGTTAAGAAAAGACACTCAATGTATTCTAAGAATAGAAGTCATTTAATACTGTTAATTTTATAGCACAAAATAAAACAAGCTATGATCCCCCAAAAATAATTTTAAAAGCTTACACAGAAAATATTATTGCCTGAAGTTCATGATTTTTAAGTTACAAGTTGAAAGAGTCATCATCTGTCCTGCTGGGGGCTGGAGAATACACAGAGACAGCCATCTCAGAAGCCAGGCCACCCTCCCTTGTGCAGAGGGACCTCACCTGCTCGGGCACAAGTCGGGGTACCTGAAGTCAGCACCACAGAACAGCCTTCTCCTGGGCCCCTAGGTGAGACTTCAAGTGATTCTCCCCACATCGTCAACAGGAAGCATCAGTCAGGAACACCACGTTAAAACCAAAGTCAACAGCTGTCTCCTCCCCAAGATGTAGCCGGGAAGCTCCATCTCGGTGGCCCCAGGATCTGTACTGTCCCCGTGTTCCTCCCACGCTTGTATCGTCTTTAGCAGGTGCCCAACCGGTGTGTAAATGACTGAGCAACGACCCAGGCAGCCACGGGCATGGAGAGGGAAGTCCCCCTTCGGACCACGACAGAAGCGCTAAGACTGCCACATGGGGTTCATGACCCAAGTCGGACGACATCACCCACCTCAACTCCTCGGACCAGGGAGTCCGGTGAGGCTGGAAACCCCAGGAGCCGCCTTCACAATCCACGAATGACAGAAAGACGAGGGGTGGAGCGTGAGCCCTTAAACAGTGCATCAAATGAAACAGCCTCGTTGCCCATCAAGGCTGAACAGAACCAAAGGATAAATAAACCAGTGATGGCTCATGGACCATCCAGAGCTTGGGGCGATGGACAAAGCAGGGAGGGGAGCAGGCAGCACAGGCAGTTCAAAGGGAAACGCCCGCCCCCAGAGCGCATGCAATCCTCCCAGCCAACGGGGACCCTGGACACTTGTCAGTGCCGTCGGCCATCGGGAAGCCTCGCCCGCAAGCTGGGGAGCGCACCGCGCCAGGGGAGACTCTCGTGGGGCCTTTCCCTTCCGATCTTCTCACATACCTCGTGGGACCCAGCTACCTTTTGCAGAATGTGGCGGCGATTTAGGCTCGTAGGACTTTAGGAGTTGGAAGGGACACTAAGAGATGATCCACGGTCCAATCTCCTCATTTACAGGTGAGGAAATCAAGGCCCAGAGAGGGGAGGGGACTTGCCTCAAGTCACCAAGCCAGAGAGCAGCAGAGGGGAGATTCAGGCCAGGGCTTAGCTCCAAACCTAGAGCTCTTTCCACTCAACAGCCTCGCTTCTCCAGAATGGACAAGGTGGTCTCCCAAGTCCATTCCAGATGTAATAGTCCTCACCTCTGAGATTCTGGGACATCCTTGACAGCATTAGAAACATGTGCTCCCCTCTGGGAATCCACGCATTTTAGTGTGAAGACTCAATGGGGGGGGGGGGGGAAGCCCCATGCCTTCCTACATATTTTGACCTACTCCTTAGTGACCTACATCAACCCACATAGGACAAGATGAGTCCTAGGAAGAGCAGGTCAAAGGAAAACTCATCTTAATACACGGTGTGCAAGCATACCCTCTGCCTCCTCAAGAGGACTGACTGCCATGCTGCTAAATGGAGTTAAACAGAGGAGTTTCTGTCTCTCAGAAACCAGGCGGGCTTGTTCACGTTCACAGATTGCCAGGGTCAGTAAGGAGACCTCTCTTTGGAAGGTGTGACCAAGGCCAAGTCTAGCAGTGAGCGCACAAAAGGGGTGAGTAGATTAAAGGCTGGTCCTGTGGCCATTCCATGAGAACACCATGCTGGACCTTGGCTTTTGGCAGAACGTTAACGGCAGAATAAGTAGCCAAAGGGCATGTTTTCAGTAGGACAGACTGATAAATAGCTTCAAGTAGTTGTGGAAATGTTGGCTGAAGAGTAGGCATTTTTGAAGTAGGTCATTGCACACACAGCCTATGGTTACTAATCACTGGCTGGGGACACCCAAGCCCACATCAATCCCCTCAAGTTTTTCAATCTTATTAATGTCATTATGTTCATGAGCACAATCGTGCTCTATCTGGCTGTTTGGCAGCCGTGTCTTCTGTCCTATGGAAATCACTCAGAGAAGCAGCGTGGTGCAGGAGGAGGCAGACCTGGCTTCTGGGGCCAGCCTGGTGGGACCCTAAGCCGATCACTTCAAGCCTCCCTTCTAGACCTCAGTTTCCTCATCTATAAAACTGACCTCGTTTGACTGCATCTGAGGACTTCTACATGGCGTCTCTTCCAGTTCTAACATTCTATGAGTCTGTGAGCTTTGGCTCAAAAACACAGAACACATTCTAAGCTGCAAAAATATAAACGCTAAAAAAGTCTGTAGGAAAGACAGCCCCAAGGACCACATGCACTAATTAAGGGGCTCTTTCTACGTTTGTAGTCAGCGCTCAATTTCTGTCTGAACCTCTCTACCTTGCCCTTTACTAGTATCTGGCAGAAAAGGATATTAAAAGTTTGAATTTCTGTCAGTGTATTAAGATTTCCCAAGTCTCCTATTTGCAACAGATCAAGTCTGAATACCTTTTCCTACTGCCATGTGTAATTAAGGGGCTTTTAAAAATCTAACAAGATCATCCTGCATAACAAAGCTCTACTAGTAGGTCTAGCCAACTAGTGCCCTGCCTTTCCTGGCCTGCTCAAGGGTTTCTCTAGCTGTTGGTAATGCAGCCCAGATACAGCCTGGGGTCTGACTGCTCTCTCCAGCCTCTTCAAAGGGCAAGGACATAAACTGCTCGCTTTCCTTGGGGGTGGATTCAACTCCAAGGTTCTGAGAACAGTCTCCCTTAGGGAAGACTGCTGGTTCACCTTTAGAACGGGCATTCACTGAAAGCAGACCAAAAAAATAAAGCGAAATGGTTCCGCGCGCGCGCGCGCGTGTGTGTGTGTGTGTGTGTGTGTGTGTGTGTGTGTGTGTGTGTGTGTGTGTGTAGATTCAGGATGGTTTCACTGGGAAAAAGTAAAAGGAAGTATTTTTCCTTGAAGTTTGTTTTCTACAGTTTACAGTGCTTGGAAAAATGGAATTAAATATGATGGTTTTTTTCCTTTTGTTCAGCACATGGCAAAACAGGCTACCATTTACAACAATGAAAACGTGATATAAAGACAGGCCTTGGCTTCAGTGTAGTTTTTTCTTAAGTCAAACAAACTTCACTTCAGAAGCTCACAGGCAGGCAGATTTCCTCGTACTGAGAAAACTTGTCACTTATGACCGTTCAGAACACACATTCCAGTAAGTCTTCCCCCAAGTCCCAATTCAGCTTCTACTGTGACAGGACAGAATTCTCTCCTGTTCCTTGAGTTCCATGAATTCCCCTCAAAAAGATGATGAAGCTGGCACACCACGTTATCACTGAGGACGAGCTATGCACCAAGTTCAAGCATAATTGCCAAATGTTTTCTTTCTCCAACTGAATTTGATCGGATGAAGCCAAGAAAGCATCCGAGTGAGGGCAGACAGCCCCTCTCCTCTTCAATGTCCTTTTGCCTGGATGTTTCTGCTCGGGCTTTCCAGCTTCAGATCCAAAAAGGTCCTCAATTGGCTAAGTCTGCGACGACCCCAAGGCCCGAAGGCTGCCAGCTGTGTGCATTCCAGATGTGTAGAAAAGACCACCGAACGGAAGCAAGCTGGAGAGCTGGGCCAGGCTCCCTAGCTTGCCTGTGAGAGAGAATGGAATCCCATTTCAGAGGATGCTACTAATGAGAGCCAGAACACGAAGCAGTAGCAGCAGCAGTAGACACGGGTAACAGAAATCACTCGTTTTCATCTGGATTTTGAGGGTCAATGATCTTGACGTGTGTGAAAGGGAAGAGCCCCTTGCGGCCATTGACTTCACCTTCCCACTGGCCGTTGATGTTCATTCTTGTCACTTTCACGATGTCACCCACCTATTTGGAAAGGAGAAAGGGAGCATCAGTACTTCCTCGCCAATAAAAGGACAACGGCCATAAAGTTACCAACTTCCTACCTATTTCAATTGTTATTCTATTAAGTCCCTCCTACCTGCAGGGCCCAAGGGACACCTGGATCTAATCAGACACAGGCCCTACCCTCAGGGGAGGGAATATCAGAGTACAGAGGAACAGAACACCATTCTACAAGAGGTATAAGATGTCACGTGAGAGCTGAGTGAGGACAGCAAATTTTCAGTAATACTAACTTCAGAACAATTCCTAGAATAGAATTAAAAAGAAAGAGAAAAAAAAAAGAAAGCAAGGGTAGATCTAAGTTTAGCAATTTGGTTTTCTTCATCAAGTTTGTACTAAACATTAAGAAAATCTGTAAAAGATGAAATTTTAAAAATAGAATTGCAATTATTTTGGAAAAAAATTATTAAGCAGCTGCTTAATGCTTTCAGGCTTTCATGTAAACACAAATATGGCATCATCCTACTTGACTGAGGTCACTGATACTTGGATTAACCTTTGAATCCTAATATTTTTACTATAGAAAAGACAACTCAATGACTAATCACGGCAATGATTCTCACATCTCAGCAGTTGACAGGCATGTGCAGAGAACGTGTGAATTTACTTTGCTTGATTCTACTTATTTGTTACAAAGGAAGGATGGGGGTGAGTGGGGTGACTGTGAGGAAGGCAGCGATGAAAAATTAAAAACGAGCCAAAGAAACATTTCAGAACACGTGGAAGAGAGCAGAACGATGTTCTGAAGGGGACACAGACAAGCAGGGTGATGTTGGCATCGTTTTTTATGTAACAGAGACTCCTGATTTCCTACACGGACCTTCTTCTAAGTTCTCTGCATGTGGAAATGCTCATCTTTGTTGACGCCTGTCAAACTCCTAGATAAAAAAGGAAAATGAGAGGTTTTTGTGCAGAATCAATGTCTCCCCTCTGAAAGACTCCAGGGTCTCCACGGTTATCCCCCTCCACGTTGTGACTTTCCCCATCACGGTTTTCGATGTATCATACATCGGCATAAGAAATTAAATGGAAAATTTTGGGGAGTTTTGCAGAAACCACAGACAACAGCTGAAGGCCAACAAAAAAAACAGAAAAAATTAAGACATTCAGAAATGCATAAAATATATGCATAGTACTATATAAAATCAACATATTTTATCTTTTAATATCATAAGAATTCAAACCTTCTCTGGTACAAAAGGAGGGCCAAAAACTTTTATGCAGATCTTCCAGATCGTGGGGCTGCTGCGCCCCTAATCCCCACGGTGTAGAAGGAATAACTGTAGTTGGGAAGTTAGCATTTATCTGATCACAACTTCTTAGATAATCTGTTTCTTATGACTAAGGCTGACCTTCTGCACCTGCCAATGAGAAGGCCAGGCCACGGTACACAGGGGACAGCAACACCCAGAATTCCCCTTCTCTTACTCAGACTGGTGACCATCAACTTCAAGGTTAGTGAATCCTCAGTTCTGGGTTATGGCAGGGTCACAGCTTCCCCTTCAAATCCTCCACTGCTTTCTAACACACATAGACAAGGCAGGGAATGAGAGCCCAAATCTGAGGGTGAGGGAGAGTACACACAGGAAAGGCGGGGAATGGGAAGATGCTACAGTTGTTTCTGAGTACCTGAAGGACCAGCATGCTGAAGAATTCAACTTGTTCTGCTGTGTGTATGTATGCGCATGCATGTGTGTGCGTGTGCACATGTGTGTATGTGCGCGTGTACACGGGTGTGTTATACCAACAGCAGCAATGAGAGAAAGTGTCTGGAAGCAGGATGAGCTCTCTTGGAAGGGCCCCAGCCTTCCTTCGGGGGGGTCTTCAAGCAGAGACTCGAGGGGATGCTGCTTACCAACTAAGCTACAGAACAAGCAGGAGTCCAGTGCAACCTGAATTCTCTTTCTGCAACACCAGCAGGTGATGAATGAATGAATACACTTATTACCTGTGTAACCTCGACCGATTCACCTCCATTCTTATTCTTTAAATTTTTATCTTTTGACCGTACAAAACTTTTGTGTCCCCCCCCAAAAAAAGGTTGCCCCCCTTCCCCATTGTCATCCCTTTAATAAAACAATTTAAAAATAGTCCAGCAAAACTAATCAAAACGCCAACAGAACCTGACATTAAATGCTACGTTCCACACCTATCAGTTTCCTACCTCTGCCAAGAAAGGAGAGGGACGTGCTCCCATCTCTTCTTTGGGGCCAACCTTGGACATTACCCGAGTCCAAATTCAGTCTCAGACACGTACTGGCTGTGTGACCCTGGGCAAGTCACTTCACCTGTGTGCCTCAGTTTCCTCATTTGTAAACAGGGTTAATCACGGCACCTACCTCCCAGAGTTGTTGTGACGGTGGAAAGAGATAACTGCAAAGTGCTTAGGATACTGTCTGGCACACAGCAGGTGCCATATAACTAGTCACTGCATACTGTTTTCTTGGTTATGTTTATTCATTCTGCCTCAGTCTATACAAGTCTTCACAGTGATTACATTCCCACCCCACAGTTTGTTTAGCCGTTATTCAACTGGTGGCATTTACTTTGCATCTAATTCTATGTAGCCATAAAAGGTGCAGCTATCAATGCTGCAGGAAACAGGCCCCCTTCTCCTTCTGTCTCTGGCTTTTCTGGGATCCATGTCTGGACCCATTCCTTGCCCAAGCCAGACGGTGTTGCCCCTAATGGCCTACGGTCACAATTCCCAGACAGGTCAACGGACCCAGTCGCTGACTCCTTAACGTGGGTGTCATCGTGGTCCTCGACTCTTTTCTTTTCCTTTGTCTTCTGTCACCATTTATTTTCAGCATTGTCTTCTTTTTCAATTTTGAGTTCCGGATTCTCTCCCTCCCTCCCATCCCTCTCCTATCCACTGAGAAGGCAAACAATACATTGTCAATTATACATGAGAAATCATGCAAAACATATTTCCTTATTAGCCACAAGGCAAAGCAAAGCAAAAAAAAAAATATGAAGAAAGGGAGAAAATTCTACTCCATCACTTGTCTCTGGAGGTGGACGGCGCTTTTTTCACCATGTGTCCTTTGGAATTGTCCTGCTGTACTGATCAGGGTGGCCAAGACTTCCACATTTGGTCTTCACGACAACATCACTGTGCACAATGTTCTCCTGGTTCCTCTCACTTCACTTGGCATGAGTTCATACAGGTCTTGCCACGGTTTTCTAAACACCCCACCCCACCCCACCCCGGTCACTTCTTATTAGCACAATCGTACTCTATCACAATCTTATGCCACAACTTGCTCATCCATTCCACAAATGATGAACTAGTTATTATTAATTCTTAAGAAATAACTGGGCCAGGTGAGCTAGCAGAAAGAGCAGTTGCCACCTTGATCGATTCAAACATTCTCCAGCAGCTTATGTTTCAGTATTTTAAGGGAGAGTTTGAGAAGTTCTACTCAACATGCCACTTCTTTCAGCTACCCAGTAAAGGTGAGTCTTGCCCCTGGGAAACTGCCTAGATGTGGTAGAAAGATGGAAAAACAGCATTTAGTTGCTGGCTTCTCTCTGCGTAAGGTCATAGCTGCCCTCTGTCACCACTAGGAGGCACTCTTTCAGAAAGAAGCTAAGCTGCCTATTCCCCAGCCCCCAGCCCTGCTAGAGGCGGAGCTTCACTTTCAAATGTGTATCAGTGGTGCTGTCCATGCCGCTGGCATACATGGGCACCTTGCCCTCATTCCTCTGTCCAACGGCAGCATGCTGCCATGACTCACTCCTGAAAGGTGAGGTGAACACCGGGCAGGGGGCAAAGCCACAACAAAGCCTATCGCCTATGCAATGACCTAAAGGAAGGCCCACAAGGGCCTGTCAGAGGACAGACCTACCTCCAACAAGGTCACAGACTCAAACGGTCATGCCGCCCACCTCTGCTGAGCCCTAGAGAACCTATGTCAGAGACGGAAAAGCCCTGGGTCCATGTTTACTCTCCCGAGCTGCCCGGTCCTTCCTGGTTCCAGCCCTGCACAGCCTCCATGCTCTGCTACATAAAGGGAGCAGGGCCACGCTAGCTCTAGGTGTCACTCACAATGAAAGGGAAGCCGCACTGCTCCAGAAACAAGGACAGACCGATGAGATGAGCACCACCATCAGCATGTCATCCTCCTCCTCCTCCTCTTAATGAGGTACAAGAGCTGAGCCACAACCTGGGCCTGAAGCCTGCTGTGCTCCTCCTGCAGTCCTAGGCAACAAACATCTCTAACAACAAGGACACACTACACGGAGGAGACCCGACAGGCCTTGGAGAGAAGGCAGACAAGTCTGTCATGGGCCAGACCCTGGAGATGTAAAAATGAAACAAGATACTCCCCACACTCTACCAACTTTCAGTCCAACAGGGAGCATCACATAAGTCCACATGCATCAGCATGCTACTATTTGTGACAAGAAAAAAACTGGAAGCAAAACGTGTTCAGTGAATGAGCCAAATGGAGAGCATGCGAATGTAATGGAATATTACTAAGGCACAAGGAGTGATGCACCAGAATAACTCAGAGACACAAAGCAAGACTTGTCTGAAGCACCACAGTGGAGAAAGCAGAGGCAGAATATGTACAAGGCATGTCAACATAGACAATCAAGTAACAGCCATCCAAGCGAAGGACACACTCCTCCTCTGGGACAGCTCTGGGGAAACGTACTTTGGCGGAGGGACCGTGTGGGTGTTACTGAGAAGTGTCTGCTACGCTGAAACAAAATGTCTTTTGATGAGAAATGATGAATTAAAAATACAGAATGCTAAGAAACAGAATGGGACGGAGGAAAGAGTAAGACAAAGTTCTCTAAGAAAGTCTAAGAGAGGAATCTGGGAAGGCTCAAGGCAGGAAGCTGGTTGCAATAACTGGGCCTCGGAAGAAGAGGGAATGAGGTGCCCAGGAAGTACATTCCAGGCACGTGGGAAGCCTCCACCAATGCCTGCAGTGGGCCAGAGCAAAGAC